GCGCTGCATCGTGGTAGAATTTGTCCCTCAAATTCAAGCCATTTTTTTTTTTAATGGACTTACCACGAGGGTGTTCGAAATTCAAACTCAAATAAAACGGTAATCACAAAGCTTCCGATAATAAATTTTTCGGTAAATAATGGATTATTGCCTTACGCAACTTTATTTCGGTAAAATAGTGCCTGATGGCCGATAAGGTACCTACTTTTTTCCACGAGAACGGTATTCACACTTGAGGAAGATGGCTGCCACCAAGCCAGGATCGATCTTTCAGCTCGAACGACAAAATTTAAAAGGGACGAGAAACGAAACGGACAAGGTGAACAGACAGAGCTTCCCCGCTTCTCCTCAAAAATACCCAACGGAAAGCGTTGGTACTAAACTGGTACGTCATATTTGAACGAAAATCGTGCCCTCTAGTTTGATAATTGCTAATATTATTAGCAGCAGAAACCCCTTTTTTTTAATGCTAGTCACCAGACTGTCATCATTAAAGGTAATATAAAATTATATTTGAAAGAAAAAAGAGCAAGTAACATTTGCCATATGTTACAGATTGAATTTTCATTCTCGTGAATGATAGCCATTATTATATACTCGTTGAAGAATATACTATTTTCCAAGCATGTATTTTCAACCATTTCAGTAATACCTAGTTACTATGAAATGATAAAGCTTTACTTATTTAATCAAATTATCTTATAACCATCAATGTATAAACATCCAAAGTGAGTGCTTTACAAAATTATAAAGCGTGCAAGGTCAAACGATATTCAATTTGATTTTCTCCCAATTCCCTAGAAATTTTGGCTAACACAAATGTTGAATATTTATAATGAATGTCTCTTGTTAACGTTCATTTCTGTTCAGTATGTTTTGTGACCGCGCTCATACCACTAAATTCATATTCCCTATTCTAATAATGGATAGTAGTCTAAACATTATGGTTTATTAGCTTTCGGGTGGTTTTCACGTTTAATTGTCTGTCTGGCTGCTGTTATATTAATTTTTATAATAGGAATATCGTGATTCGTGATGCTGGGTTATGATAATTGTGAAGGCAAATAGAAACGTATATGCACAGTTGTTTTGAAATAAAAGCAATGCATGGAGTAATATGGAACAGATTATACGAGCTTCTCAGACTATAATTTTCATTAAGTTTCTTTCGCTAGTAATGGCCGCACGTCTTACGGTACATTAAAGACAGCCAATAAATATTTTTTTTTGTAATTTTAATGGCATAAAATAGGAATGGACAAACTAACATTGTCCTCGTAGTCCGCAATTTTGAAAATACATCTTCCCGAATGGAAACTTTTGTTTCGTTAATGTAAAAAGAAAACGGTCGTGTCGTAATGCGCTGCCTGCAAACCGCTTTCCTCCCATTGCCTCTTCCGAAGTTGTCTTTTTTTTGTAGTTGGTGGAGTGTATTAGACATCTTCTCCTTTATTGTAGGGTTAGACTCTCCCCCGGGAATACTCACTGAATCCACCACCTTCACCGACCAATCAGTCGAGTTAATCTAAGAAAGGCGATATTATCCTCCGAGCCATTGGGATTATAATCTGCTTTTAGAGGAAGCCCGCTAACAGATATATATGCCTGGACCGCATCATAGGACACTCGACGTCCTAAATAATCAGCACTTTTACTTTCATATTCTGGCATCCTTCGATGATTCGCGTTTCTAACATAGCATTATGGACCCTTAGCTAAATGGCGAAGCTAAATGTTCTCCACCGTAAGGATGACTTTACTGCCTATATAGGTACCCGTATACTGCCGATTTGTAAGACAGTTGCGCAGTCTAGAAATTCATTCGATCATCGTGATCTTGGTACTTAGGCCAGTGCTCCTCCGATGCAACTCTTCCACGTGAGTCGAACATTTATAATGAGACCTTATTAACATAGTATATACGAAGCTGCTTGGACCGCAGGCCTAAAATAGTGGTATGGTCAATATACTGCATCAGATCACTGTAGTATTGAAAAATATAGCAAAATTTATACTGATTGCTCCTTGTACCGTCGGAAGCCAGAGAAGTATGAATGGATAGATTTGATCGGCTTCTTATACACGTTGGATGCCAGTCAACGTTAACTCGGTAGATCTGATGAAAAAAATAATTTAATTTTGTTGATTGATTATAAAGTAGATTTCATTAAAAAATAATAAAACTTATAAATGAATCTCTATACAAGCCTTCATTCCAACAAAAAGGCAGAGCACGGTAGCCATCCATTCTCAGCCACTGGACGAGGAAAGTTGCTAGTGGAAGTTGCAGATTCTAGCCTGGAATTAAGGAGAGAAGTTCAGTTTTCTACGTCAAATGTGGGGGTACACGTATCGAATCGTGAGGGACTTGAGTGCTCTAGGAATTCCTCCAAAAGCTCTATGCCACGCTCCACGAAAACGGTGTTCTTTTAAAAATGTGGCCTTTTGGAAATTGATTCGTTGAGATTTACCAATACTAACCCAAGCTCACCAATACTAACCCAAACTTACCAATACTACCTCAAAGTAACCCAAAGTAACTCAAACTTACCCATACTAAGAGAGAAACGACTCCTCGGAAAAACAGCTCGTCGGATAAACGCTCCTCGTAAAAACGCTCCTCGAAAAAACGGCTCCTCGGGAAAACGCTGCTTAGAAAAACGCTCCTCGGAAAAACGTCCCCTAGGAAAAACGCTCCCCGGAAAAACGCTCTTTGGAAAACCCTAAGTAATAGAGACATTCCATGAGCAACCATTATTTAACTCTTTATAGGATACCGGTCGATATATCAACCGGTGCGAAAAAATATATATTTTGAAGGAATACCGGTCAAAATATCTGCCAGTTAATAAAATGCGCCTTGTTTAACGCACACTGGTGGACTTTTCGACCAGATCACCAAAATTTAAAAAAATAGTTAGGAAACGGTTGAAATATCAACCAGTGTGTTTCCATATAATTCATATTGTGTTGTTGCTCCGCACGTTATTATTAATTTTTACCCATTCATTGTTTATATAAATGCCTGATATTTTGCAAGTGAGTTAGCTACTAATAAAAGATTGTTATTACATAATTGTTTTGTTTATAAGGTTTGTCGCAGGGAAAATATTTGTACATTAGTTCTGACCTAACATCAAAATATATTTAAAAAAAAATAGAAGTGATCATTTTAGTTTAGATTTTCCTGATTTTTAAATATTTTTGGGATAAACGATGGATAAAAAATTGTGTTTGGAACAAATGGCAGATTTGGAGCCAGATGACCTGTTTGATATGAAATGTCCACTGTCATTTCGATATTCCCGAATGGACTCTGGTTGAAAAATCAACCACCTCAAAAAAAACACAAAAAAACAGTAAAAAAATCAAAATAACGAACAATACCTCTTTTCTAGACCGTAATAAACTCAAACTCATTCTTATTTGGTTCAAAACCAAACTGCAATATTCTGCCCTATAAAGGGAAAAATAAATAAAAAGGACTTACCACGAGGGGGTTGGAAATTGAAACTCAAATAAAACGGAAATTTCGATTTAAATTTTTTCGGTATTAAATGGATTATTGCCTTACGCAACTTTATTTCGTTAAAACAGTGCCTGATAGCCGATGAGGTATTTTTCTTCACGACAAAGGTAATCACAGTTGAGGAAGATGGCTGCCCCCGCGGCTAGAGTCGACCTTTCAGGGCAACGGCAAGATTAGAGAGGGACGAAGAACGAACAATCTCTACAGGCAGAGCTTTCTTTCAAAAAATATTAAACGGAAAGTATTGGTACTGAACTGGCACTTGAAAATCGTGCCCTCTAGTTTAATAATTTGCTATCGTTACTGGCGACAGAAATCTTTTTTTTTTAATGCCAGTTCCCAGACTGTCAACATTAAGTGCCGGTACTTTTGTTCTCAGTTTCCGAATTTGACAGCCGTTAAAAATAATCAGGGGTTTGAATGTGCTCTAACCACATCATACTTAAGGCTGTATCATACTTGCCGTTGGCGATTACTATTACCGTTTGCCATTGCCACGTCCATTCAATCACTCTACATCGGTTCGATTCTCGATTCTGGTGACGTCCGGTGTAAACAAATGTATACAAAAATATCAAAATGACATCCAGCAAAATGATTTTAAAGCGTTGATTGGCTACCTTTCAAAACGGCCGGTTGAAAATTAGACTGCAACCTAAACGTTCAACGGCAATCGTAACCAGAAGCGGTTTTGTTTCTATTCGTAGAAAAACCCACGGCAACTGGTGATAGTAATCGGCAATGGCAAGTATGATACGGGCTTCACAGACCTTGGCCCATGCAAAACCTTGTTAAATTTAACGACGTGTCAAATTCGTTAATCAAGATCAAAAGTATCAGCCCTAAAGGTAATGGTAATATAAAATTATATTTGAAAAAAAAAGGAAAAAGTACTAACAGTAGCATCTCACATGCTACAGGGACCGGCCTCATATCAAGCCTCAATTTCTGTGATTCAACATCATTATTTACTTCCATATAGGACTGTTATAGGCCTGTTTCAAGCAGTATTGCTACTCCACCAGCAGCTGTTCAAACGGTAAATCTTGTGGTCTCCTGCAGAGCCAAGATATAAGCTCTAAATCCTTTGGGTAATGTTCTAGCAGATTATCTTCAATAGTTTGGTCAGGGTTTTTTGTAGCAAAGCCACTTGTATGAAGCGTCCAGGCCTGGTGCATTGTTCAGAACTTTCCGTCCTCTCACCACTAATTTAAGCTCCGGAACCTAGCATGTTTCCACTAGGTACCTACCTATTCCTGAAAGAAAATCAACATGTGGAAGTCACGCAACAAAGCTTTATGATAAGTTATGTAGTTTGATTCTTAGGTATCATAAAAGCCTAATTTAATATCATCAATCAAAAATAAGTAATTTGGCAGCACAGGTGCACACGAATTCGATTTTTGTATATTAGCTACGGCCCTCGCGTCCCATACTCTAACCCAATATAAATCTAAAAATATTGTTTCAGTGCTGACGAGGGCTTCGATGGAACTTACCCGACCAACGTTGTAGTCCGTAATAACGGCAGTTGCTTCTATTTGCCTCCGGGAATTTTCAAAAGCACATGTAAGATCGATATCACCTGGTTTCCTTTTGACGATCAAAGATGCGAAATGAAATTTGGTAGCTGGACATACGACGGCTTACAAGTAAGTATAGATACCTGAATTATTACCAAAACCCTTTTTATTATTATTAAAAAAATACAAAAGGTATTTTGAAATGAAAGATTCGACCTCAAACTCATGTAAACTTTCTGATATATGACTAGAATAAAGTTTTGGATTCGTCCATTTTTCATACAGTTGTTTCGAACCATATTTTCACACAATTTCATCATGCTAGCATAGAATATTTATAGTTACATTGTTACCTGTTTATCTAGAAACCTCTAATATAAAGAGAGAAAACTTCTATCCATAAAAGAGCTATATTTTATCCTGACTGATAAAAGTTTTTAATATTCCACAAGCATTCCGGATTTAGAAAAGTTTAAAGATTCAATAAATCTCCATAGGGCACGCTGTTCGGAAAAAGAAAGTTACCTACTAAAGGAAACTTGATTCAATTAATTAAACTGTTTGTCAAATTAAAATATCTTTTGTTGCATTAACCAACTAATTTAAATCCGTTTTTACAGTTAGATCTACAACTTCAAGATGATAGTGGCGGAGATATTAGTAATTTTATAACAAATGGGGAATGGGACTTACTAGGTAAGTGAAAAATGCTATGTTCATGAGTTTCAGCTATAAATAATTATCCTAAGCTATAATTAATTATTGATAGCTTGAGCGACTTACTTGAAAGAATCATTAATCTACATCATCGGGGTATTTCCATTATGGGAGGCTATTTAATTCCAGTTTTTTGAGGTGGAATGGTTGAAGTGAATAAGAAAAAAATTAAATAGGACTCCAGCGTTCAACGTGATTTGGATAAGTCAATTCAATTATTCTTTCAATCAATTTCCATTAAAAAAATCTTACCCAGTTAAAATTCCACGAAACCAATAAAATGGAGCGACAAAATAACTTCTACCAATCCTGTACTTTTGTTTGTTTAACCATTTCCCGCTGCTATAAATTTAAATAATCTGTATATTCAGTGCATCCAGCATCTAACATAAGTTATTAGCTAAACGAAAGATAACACGATACGCCGCCATTTCCGCAGCATATTTGCAGGTCATAATTATAAACTCTGCCGAAACAGCGTTTGGTCTGTCACACCTAAATTAATTCAAATATATTTCCTACTATATAGGAAACTTCAGTTCCATCAACACCAGAATATCCAAAAACTTCTTTATTTATGCGTGATCCAGCATTTACACGATTTTCTACTATAACCCCTTTGGTTAACAAATTAACAGGAGGCACATAATATGCTTAGTTTCCTCAGATAATAATTGTTAGGTATGGGTCAATAGTCTAATAAGTACAGAATGACAAGGGCGACACTTAATTTAGGAAATAAATAATTAAATAAAATAAAATATTGAAGTGTGAAAATGAAACACCTAAAAAAAAAATAATCAGCCAACGGTAATTGATAATTCTGAAGAGGAAATAAATAAGGCATATAACTCAACCAAATCTTGACATAGGTAAAAAACCAATAAAACACTCAAGCAATTTTCAAATCAAAAGAGTATATATTTTCACAGTGAGGGCAAAAATCAAGTATTGAATAATTTCAAAACATGAAATCAATTGCTGGTAAATCAGATTCATCAAATTCCAAAAAAAAAAAATAATATTATAATGTACTTCAATATACTTGCCATATTAATATCATGAAATGAAAATATAAAAGATTTAACTATCTAGAAAACTAATTTAAAAAAAAAAATATTGAAAATTGTATTGACAAATATGGTCAGGTTCCGCTTAAAGAATAAATTCAATAAAATCAACTTGCACCTGTATGAAATCGAAAGTTAAGTTAAATAGTCAAATGATATAGGTAATAGAAACCCTCGATTATATAAGTATAGGACCCAAGTTAAAAATTGATCAATTTTCGACGATGTAGGTACTTACTAAATAATTTTAAATTTAGAACATTTTATCCAACGTTGACCTTAGTTCAGATTATTGATTATGAATAATAACATTTATATTCCTAAAACATGGCAGTACTAAAAGTTAGGTAAAGATAAATATATAATAAATTCGATAAATCGAAAATCCAGAAAATCAATTTTTTCACCATCACCTCGATGTCATAACAGGAAAAATTCAATCAATTATATTAATTGATCATAAAATAGATAATAAAGAAAAAAATAATAATAATAAAAGTTATTAATGAAACTTTATACAAGTCTCCATTCCAACAAAAGGTGGATTACGGTAGCCATCCAGCCCTCCATTTTCTGTCACTTGAAGAATGAAGTTGCACCTGGAAGTTGCAGATTCTAGCCTTGAATTAAAATAGATAGAGGCACGAAGTTCTCAAGTATTGTCAGATGTGGAGGCACAGGAGTCAATAAGTGAGGGACTTGGGGACTTGATTCCTCCAGGATTCCCTTTAAAAGCTTTATGCTCACGCTCTACGGAAATGGTGATCTTTAAAAATATGGGCTTGTTGGAAAGGGATTCGCTGAGAAAAACGGTTCCTCGGAAAACCCACGAGGAGGCTCAAACTTCGAACTGAAATAAAACGATAATAAGACTTTCGATTCAAATTTCTTTGGTATTTAATGGATTATTGCCTTACGCAACTTTATTTCGTTAAAACAGTTCCTGATGGCCGATAAGGTATTTTTCTTCACGAGAAAGGTAATCACAGTTGAGGAAGTTGGTTGCCTCCCAAGCCAGAGTCGACCTATCAGGGCGAACGGCAAAATTCAAAAAGGGCGAGGAAAGAAACGGACAAGATGAACAGGCAGAGCTTCCCCTCAAAAACCAGCTAACGGAAAGTGTTGGTACTGAACTGGTACTTCAAACTTAAAGGAAAATCGTGCCCTCTTGTTTAATAATTGCTAATTTCAGGGTCGGATTAAGGTCTTTTGGGGCCCGGGGCTATTTTCACAAAAGGGGCCCCTAGGTCCCTGAAATAAGTTCAAACGTCACCCAAAACTTTACCTTGCAGCGTAAAAAAATGTGAATTTTCTATTTACTTACAGAACAAACAATACAATACAGGAGAGGTGGTAATCAAAAGGACCCCGCACACCTCTTATGAGATTTGGGGATTCGGTCAATTTTCCTGAAAATTTGATATGATGCTGAATTAATGTCCAAGAAATGCACACATTTTAGCTGGGTTCGGCTATTCAGCGCGGAGTTGGAGTGGAGTGAACAGAGCTAATGGAGTCACCCTTAATACGGTAAAAAGCAATACCCGAACCTTAACCCGAACGGCTGGAGTGCGAATGGAGTCACTCGGAGTGCACGGAGTGAGCAAGCCGAACCCACCTAAAATATGCATTTACATCTACCTGTCACCTGAACGTGGGGATACCTGTCAATCCTGGAACACTTGGCCAAACATAAAACTGGTATACAGGCAATATATATTTTGAAAATTGCCTAGTGTGAGTCAGGCTTAACAACAAAAAGTCTGTTCTGGAAAACTCAGGTCCGACAGTTTTTGTCAACGTCAAACCTGTTTTTATGTTATGATTGGTTCAAATATGACACTGACTTGACTCTTTTTGTCATTGTTAAGGTGATAAAAAAGGCCGATTTACACAATACAACACAATAGGAAAATGCGTACCAGTTTTATGTTTGGCCAAGTGTATATTATTAGGTGACAGGTAAAGTGCGTTTTTTTTTTTAAAGATAAAAGTCAAACTGACATTAGGTTGGCAATACAATGTAAAATTGTCAATGCTATCAAATTTTTCATGTAGAAAAGGCTTGTGTTGCCAACATAGTTACTAAATTTTTGACTTGGGGAATTATCTTTAAAAAAAAAACAGATTTTAGATGTAAATGCATATAAAATGTGTGCATTTCTTGGACATTAAACTACCTGTATCTCAAAAACTAGTCATAGGATCAAGTTAAGACTGAACACTTTTAATCAGAATGTTGAGAGGAGTATCATATCAAATTTTCAGAAAAATTGACCAAATTGAATTGTGTGCCCTGACTATGTTTTTTTTTTTTTTTGTTGGAATGCCCTATTCGTTTTTGATTGACAATAGTCAAAGTGACGATAAACTATTATCCTCCATTGCAGAACGATATTTGTTTTTAATATAAGCTAGAGTACTAAAAGACCTTTCACCCTCGCAATTTGTGATAGGTCTGGATAGATATATTCTCAAAACATGTTAACGTTTGGAAAAACCTGGAAAAGGTCTTTTTCTTCCATCTGCCTTAAAAAAAATGAACGTTCAAGCCATCATCGTTCAAGTCTCGAATATAAGGACAAAACTGCATCAATTCATTCTTGAAGAACTTGCCTTAAGTTCCTGCTCCAAAATATTCGGTATATTTGTTAGGATCCCAAAGATATTACTAACATATTCATACGCTTCAGAACGTTTACTCAATTCTTAAGAAAGTTTGTCCAGACTGACATTGAATTTTTCCACTCTATTTGTTCGGACCTCGTAACAAAAGTTCATCCTTACCATCTGGATATTTTCGCATTAAAACTCGCTTCTCCTCGTCACTATATTTTGAAGAAACGTATACAGTAAGTTTTTTTGCTTTTTGCTCAATATTATTAAATTCTGTCTCTGTGTGCAGTGAGTTTACAAATTCTACAAGGGGGCCTACCCGTCATGTTTAAACAAAACATGGCGGGTGGGCCCTATCAAGGTTCCTATTGTCGCCACTGTCTTTTATAAAGTCACTGTAGCTTTTGCTTTTATGCAGATAGTGCGCCATCTATCAATTATTATACCAGCCAGCTACTCAATAATAATATAGGGTAGTGTTGTATTCGATATAATTGATAGATAATAGATACCGAAAGCGAAATTGTAAAATTATTCGCGAAAGTCCCCGAAGTAGGCGACATCTATGATCAAATTTGGTACTCAAAACTCAGTGAACAACAAAGCAAGATCGCATTTGGCCCCTGGCATTATTTCTGGAAGTTTCCAGTTTTCCACAGAATATTATTCCTTTTATGTATTGTTTCTGTTATATAAATCACAAAAACGCTATAAAACACAATTTAACAAAAACTAACCTCAAAAAACTGGCTTTGTTGTTCACTGATGGCCGTTTGCACCGACAATTTTAAGGGAGGCTTAACGATACGAAGAACTTAAAATGACATTTCTACATGTAAAAATGTCACTTTAAGGAATACTTATCGTTAAGCTCTCCTTAAAATAATTGTCGGTGCAAACGGCCATGAGTTCGGCAGACATATTGCCATTTTTTCGCGTAATTTAGCGCCATCTATTGGTACAGGAATTTCGCCAATATGCATCATGATTTCTTCCCCGTGTGAGGTGGCGTTTTGGGGCCCCCATTATTTCGGGGCCCGGGGCTTTAGCCCCCAAAGCCCCCCCCTTAATCCGGCCTTGGCTAATTTGCAGCAGAAAACTTCTCTTCATTGTTAGTCACCAGACTGTCAACATTAAAGGTAATAATTTAACGTATAAAATTATATTTGAAAGAAAAAGCATTTGCAATGCTACACTCTGAAGGAGAATTTTGGAAGTCATATGGATTTCAGTCGATATCACTCAGAAGAAAGATTCGAATACGATCAAAAATGTTAATTCTACAATGGGGAC